CGACTAACGCTAGCTGATAAAGCAAGCCAGAGGCTGGGACAGTCAAACAAAAAGCTCCTTGCCAATTGCCAGCCAGCAGAATCCCTGATGGCCAGAGGTGCCTGCCACAAGGGAAGAGGGTGACAGACGCCTCCCCTTGGTTAAGAAAAGGCTCAGTTTTTCCCCAAAGTGGGCTGATGGGCAACCCCAGGAAGGCTTCTCTCCATGGGGGCTCTGTTAACCTAGACCAGCTGGCAGAAGGGGGTGGGGACTGTGGGAACGGCCTTTGGGAATGAGTCTTTTGCAAACACCATGCACGTTCCCAGCCCTTGAGCAAGGGCAAACTCAGTGGCCACGGCTGCCGCCACCCTCCTGGAATCGCAGAGACACTCAAGTGCCTTGGCAGAGGCCAAGTTATTCATTAACAAAGGAGAAAATACCCAACTATCAAAGGACATTTAAAAGAATGCCCAGCAGTTTGGAGACATAACAGCTCTACCTAACATACAGAAACAAACGCAGGGAGGCAGCCAAAATGGGGAGACAAAGAAACATGTCCCCAATGAAGAAACAGAACAAAACTCCAGAAAAAGAGCTAAGTCAAATGGAGACAAGCAATCTACCAGACGCAGAGTTCAAATCACTGGTTATAAGGATGCTCAAGGATCTCAGTGAGAACTTCAACAAAGAGATAGGAAATAAAAATGGAGACGGAAAACATAAAAAAAGAACCAATCAGAAATGAAGAATAAAATAACTACAATGAAGAATACACTAGAGGGAATCAATAGCAGATTAGATGAAGCAGAGGACTTAGTCAGCGATTTAGAAAATAAGGTAGCAGAAAACGCCCAATCAGAACAGCGAAAAGAAAAAAAGACTCTGCAAAAATGAGGGGCTTCTGAAACAACATCGAGCATCCTGACATTCTCATCACAGGGGTACCAGAGGAGAAGAGAGAGCAAGGAATTGAAAACCTGTTTGAAGAAATAATGACAGAACACTTCCCTAACCTGACGAAGTAAACAGACATACAAGTCCAGGTCACACTCAGTCCCAAACAAAATAAACCCAAAGAAGTCTACACCAAGACACATCATAATTAAAATGCCAAAGGTTAAAGACAGAGAATCTTAAAAGCAGCAAGAGAAAAGCAATTAGTTACCTACAAAGGAGCACCCATAAGACTGGCAGTTGATTTCTCGACAGAAGCTTTGCAGGCAGAAGGGACTGGCACGAAGTATTCGAAGTGATGAAAAGCCAGGACCTATAACCAACATGGCTCCTCCCAGCAAAGCTAGCATTTTGAATCGAGGGACAGATAAAGAGTTTTTTCGACAAGAAAAAGCTAAAGTTCATCACCACTAAACCCGTATTATAAGTTAAAGGGTCTTCTTTAAGAAGAAAATAAAAAGATCAAAAATACGAATAATAAAATGGCAATAATTACTTATCTACCAAAAATAACTTAACTTTAAATGCAAATGTTTTAAATGCTCCAATCAAAAAGCACAGGGTAGCTGAATGGATAAGAAAACAAGACTCTTACATATGCTGCCTATAAGAGACTCACTTCAGATTGAAACACACATAGACTGAAAGTAAAAGGATGGAAAAGGTATTTAATGAAAATGGAAACAAACAAAAAGCTGGGATAGCAATACTTATATGAGACAAAACACTCTAAAACAAAGGCCATATCAAGAAACAAAGGAGGACCCAGTAACCCCACTTCTGGATATTTATCCGAAGAAACCCAAAACACTACTTTGAAGAGACATGTGCATCCATATGTTCATTGCAGCATTATTTACAGTAGCCAAGCTACAGAGGCAACCTGGGTGTCCGTCAATGGATGAATGGATAAAGAAGAGGTGCTACATATATTCAATGGAATACTACTTAATCATAAAAAAAAAGAATGAAACATTGCCGTATGCAACAATGTGGACGGACCTACAGGGTATTGTGCTAAGTGGAGTAAGTCAGACAGAGAAAGACAAATGCCATATGATCTTACTTATATGTGAAATCTAAGAAAAAAGTAAATGAACAAACAGAAACAAACTCATTGAGAACATTTTGATGGTTGCCAGATGGGAAGGGGTCGGGGGGCTAGGTGAAAAGGGGGAGGGGCTAAGAAGTACAAATTGGTAGTTACAAAACAGTCACCGGGGATGTAAAGTACCGCATAGGGAATAAAGTCAATAATATTGTAGTAACTATGCATGGTGTCAGGTGGGAACTAGATTTATTGGGGTGATCATTCTAAGTTATATAAATGTCTAATCACTATGTTGTACACCTGAAACTTATATAAATTTTATATCAAGCATAATTGAAAAATTAAAAAGTTGTTTTTTAATAACTGCCCAGCGGTTTGGTGTGTGGGGTACAGACTAGCTCTGCAGACAGGGTGAGGTTAAGGATGAGCCCAGCCGTGCAACGAGCAGGGCCTCAAGGACGAGAAAGCTGTATGCATGGGGCAGGAGCAGGTGAAGAAAGAACAGACCACATGGCTATGGGGACACGGCGCACTCTGGTCTCCCTGCTATACAGTGATTCAGATGGACAGTGAGCATCACGAGAAGGGAAATAGCTTTTGGGAGATCCTGGCCCAGGCCACAAGGCAGGACCCTCAGTGCCCGGGGCAGGGGCAGGAGGTGCGACCAGCCGCCCGGCCCTCCCCAGCCTGTGACACAGAGGGCTCAGAACCGGAAGGCTCACAGGACGACCGTCTCCGGCCCTCAGTCCACGGGGAGCCCGGCAGTGGCAGCTCAGGTCTGGATCAAGGTCCTCCTGACCCCTGCCCTGCGTTCTCACCAAGGAGATGAGTGTATCAAGAGTGGCACTTGGTAAAAACATCTGATCCCGGCCACCTCTCCTGTGCTCCCCCACATCCAGAGCTGGCCGTGTGCGCTCAGACAAGCCACAGCCAGCCCGAGTCTAGGTGGAAGCCCTGGCCGACACCCGTGGGAAGAGTGCAGGCCCACCACAGAGGCACAGCATCCCAGGGGACCCAGAGACACCTGACTCCCCGAGACCTTTAAATTCCACTTACTGCCTAAACCCCGCCTCCCTTATACACACCTCTCCCAAATCCCCTGGCCTTTCTCCCTCCTGCCCAGTCCCGTCCCCTCCCCTCCCCTCTCCTGTGCCACCTGCACGGTCCGCACCACAGCCGCGCCCCC